AAGCCAGCTCTTAACCAATGCGTGCCACTTGGCCAGCCCTGTCACTCTGTTTTAAGCAAATGCATCAACGAACTTGTTTACAATGTGATATTTTCTATTAAATATAATATTTTTTTTATTTAAGTCTGTTTATAGCCTTTGTCCCCTGGTCCTGCAGAGACTAAGTCTTCACACCAGTTTCTGCAGACCCCATCAGACCCTGTGTTGGTCTCCTCCATCTCCCTCCCCTGCCTTGTTGCTAAGGTTCCAGTCAATCTCCAGCCTGAGGGCCTGCTCAGAAGCCTTGCTTCAGAGGCACTCCAAAGGGCTCACGTTCTTGGAGCTCCAGGATGGTGTGGAGGATGATGATGGCATCCAGAGCCTCCCGGCCAATCTCCTCATCAGGATTCCCAATGCAAAGGATGAGCCTCCCCAGCAGAAGCCCCAGTGCAAGGAATCCTGGGGACATCTGTTTATGTTGTAATCTTCAGAATTGAGTCTTATAGGTTCAATAATGCTATACAGTAAACAGTGAACACAGCTGGAAAGTCTGCCCCAGATAGCAGAGCCCTCTGAGGATGGGAATCTCTGGATGATGCACAGGCACCCTTAGAGCTGGGAAGATTCTCCTAGGAGTGTCCCCCACCCCTACCCGGGCTCACGCACAAACAAAGTCAGGGTCAGAAGTGTGCGGTTCAACACAGAGACATTGCTTTTCACAGCCCGTGCTCGTTCATGGGCCTTTCCAGAGTTCATCCAGGGCCCCAGGGCTGTGGGGTCAAGAGCAAGGCTCGAGGCTACAGGCTGGCTACCAGCCTCTGCTGCCTGGGTGGGCAGGCCAGCCTTCGCCAATCAGCAGAAAGCTCTGGGGAGGGCATAAAGGTAACTCCCTGCAGCCCTCTTCTTCTTGGAGCATAGGAGACATGAGATTCAGAAGCTAAGACTAGGATTAAAAGACCAGGATGAGGACAAAGGTCAATGAGGAGAGAAATGAGAGATGGAGAGTCATGAGGATAGAAACAAAAGATGGGGGCAAGAATGAAGAGAGCAAAGATATGGGGGAAGCTTTAGCAGGAGTATGGGGGGGTAGGGAGAGAGTAAAGGGGCAGGAGTCTGGGACAGGGCCTGTGAGGACAGGGAGCAGAACATTGGCACAAGATGACATCCTGAAGTCAGACCACTCCTTCTGGATCCAGCCTCCCTACCAGGCCCTCCTGAGCCATTCTTTTTCCCCTCCACCCTTCCGCTCCACAATGCCCCCACACCTCCAAAATGTTCTTCAGCCCAGCAGGAGTGGGGTCCTCATCAAAGAGGGCATTGAGCAGTGTCTGCAGGGCTTCCAAGGTCCGATGGTAAAGTGTCTGTGGACAGGAGGAGGACCAAGCCACTAGCAAGGTTCTGGAGCAGACCCCAGCCCCAGGCATCCTCTTTTATGGGTCAGGGGATGGGGGTGGACTTAGACCAGGAGAGCTGCTTTCTGGTCCCTACCTTGAGATTAACAATGTGTGATATTGGACAAATTTCTTCTCCTCCACGGGTTACAGTTTTCTTATCAACAAACTGCTAATTATTACTCCTGCACGTCCTACTTTACAGGGGGAGAAAGCAGAGACCCAGCATTTACTGAGACTCTACCATGGGACAGGTGAGTGCCTGGTGACAACCATATCACTTCATCCTCACTTGTTTTTCTCATTTAACAAA